AAATCACGTGGCTTGATCCCAGGGCGCCATTCCAGACAAGACCAAACATGGGGGGCAGACGGGGGATGGGTAATCCTTAAAAAATGCAAGTTCAGAGCACACGGAGCCTTCTCTGAGCCTGCCTACGACTGCTGTCTGCCTGCGTGTTGGAACAGCTAGCATTTCCGCCAGGATGACGGCCTTGTGGCCTTCCTAAAAATAGCCGGCCACATTTCTGTGCTCCCCCTGGGGCAGCGGCTGGAGCTCTCCCTTGGAAGGCCCCGCTCCTAGGAAAACCGTCTCCTCCGCCATCTCTCTCCCTTCCCTTTCTCCTCTCATTGCCAGAGGCTATGTGTTCATGCCAGAGAGCCACGGAGTCAGGAGAGCACCCGCAGCAGCCTCCCCGCCACCCCTCCTGCCGGCCGGGATCACGCACATGTGTGCTGCAGGCATGTCTGTCTCCCCAGGCTGGCAGGGGAAGGGCTGGGTGGGACCCGCTCTGCTGGCCGCTAGGCTCTGAGCCCGCCACGTTCTCTTCTTCCAAAGCTTCCTTATTTCTTACACGGCGGAGGGGGAGAGAGGGAGAGGGAACCCTGACGACCCACCAGCCCTCCAGCCAGCCAAGCCCACAGTGTGACCTCGGGTGCCCACTTGTTCAGGTCACGGAACGCCCGGCTCCCACGTGGCATGGCAGGACACTGCAGTGCCCGGGCCACGCACACCTGTCTTCCTCCGTGTGGGATTTTAAGGAAGAAGACTCCCTTCTTTGGTGGGAAGGGGAGGTGGGGAGAGGGCTAAAGGGGTAGTAAAAGGGGTGGGGGGTGCACATCAGGAGGAGTGATGAACGCGCTGGACTCTCACGTGGCTGACCGCGGTTTGAGTCCCGGACCCGGTGGCCTAAACTCACGCTGGGCATGAGTACGTGCGTGCCCACAATCCTGAGAGGAGAATGCAGGAGAAGGGATTGCCGCGTGGCTGTCCCCCGGGCGGTGACTTCTTGCGTTCTGTACCTCTGTCTCTCCGTCCCTCCGGCAAGCACAGGTGCCATGAAGCAAAGATATCTCTTTAAAAACTAAACAGAAATACAGAAGATGTTACAAGGCAACCCTCACTGCAGCCAGCATCGGTGTGCCTGTGGCGGGGGGGGCTTCCGGGGTGTTTCCGTCATGGTCTGCGCCGTGCTCGCCCCAGCGCCTCTGGCTCCGTCCGCAGCCCGTTCCCTGAGAGAGGTTAGCTGCCTGTGGCTCTCCATGGTCCACACGTTCCCACGGCTGGGGCTCTGGCTTGAGGCAGCGACCGAGGGCCACCTGCCCCCCGATGGACGTCCCGAGCGTCGGGAAGGAAGGGCAGCCGGGGCGAGCCTGGCTAGGGTAGCAGAGGAGGCCCTTCGGGAGCTCCGTCCCAGCACTGCGCCCTGGGAACACGTTTAAATTTAAAATCACACTCTCCGAGCTTTTGGCTTTATTTATTTATTTACTTATTTTAAGCTTCCTTCTGCTGGGAGACAGACAGAGGGTGAGGCGCAGGTCAGTAGGTTTCCAGGCTGCGGTCTGTCCCAGCCTCGGCCGGCCCGGCACGCTCAGGGAGGTCAGGTGCCTCGCTGCTGCCCCGCCACGCCTGCACTAGACCCGCACTTGAGCTCCAGCGTGCGGGCCCAGTGCACACAGCACACCGTGAGCGCCCCGTGGCTGTGACCCTCACCCGCGTCTGCCTTCGGCACTCCTCCCTCCGCGCGGGGACTGACGGGGGCACGGACCCCTCCCTGCTGCCTGAGTGTGTGCCTCGCAGGGGCCACGAGCCCTGCCCACCGCCACACTCCTTGGCGGGTATCAGGAGCCATACTCCGGCGTGGGCTGGCCTCGGAGCCTCCTGGACGCTGGGTGTTCAGTAAAGTTTCTTCCTTCCTCTGTCTGAGCAAGACAGACAGACAGACATACCCACGGGGTGTTCCTGGGACACACTAGTCCCCCGAGGCCCAGGCTCCTGTTCTAAGTCGACGACAAGCTCATGTCACACCACTGTCCTCCTCGGTTTCATTGAGCCCCCCCCCCCAGACAGGTGTCCAGAAAATGTGTGGCTTTATCCCCACGGGGTCCACGACCAGCCCGGCCTGGCGGCGTTACTCTGTGCGGTCACCACTCACTACTGCAGCTCCCGGAGTAGGTCCTGCCATTACTCCTGGTCATTGAACTCTGAAATGCACTTAAAACCTGGGCGACTAAAGGATAAAACCTTTCCGAAATAATTATGAACTAAGAAAATGTGTTTGTGGAGAGAAAACCTCCTTTTCCTGGAGTGTGATGAAGGTGGGCTTTCTGGAAGACAGAGGAGACACAGGACGGTGGCCCAGGGCACCGAAAGGCTCTCCCAAGGCCAGGCTGGCCTCCATCCTCCAGCAGGAAGGGTGGAGGCCAGAGGGGTTCCAGTGGCTGTACACCCTGGGGGGCTCATCTACACAAGGAGGAGGCAGCTGAAAGGCCCGCCTATAAAGAAAACAGGAGGCTCCTGGAATCCGGCCTGGGTTGCCATGGTGACTGACTGCCCCGAGCCGCCCTGGGTGTGCACACAGCTCCGGGGTGACTTCTGGAGCAGCGTGGTGGACGGTTGCCCCGACACAGCTGGAGGCGCAGGTGCACTGCCTGGGACAGGCTGGAGCAGGGGCTCGTTTATGCCACCGGTGTCTGACGCACCTCAAGGACTCCCCATGCAGGCCCGAGCTGCGGTTTCAGTACTGAGGACTGGGAAAACGTCGCTGTGGAAACACCCAGAAGCATGTCTGTTACTCTGACAGGCAGGCCTCGGGTTGGGCAGACGCTAAGTTCAAGTTGTTCAGGAGAGTTTGGATGCTTTAAAACAGAAACGCGAGGAGGGCTTCGTCGTTCAGTGTGTCCACAATAAATGACGGCAGAATCGAACACGTCCTCGGGCCGACCACGGCCTGGTGGCTAAGGCAGATGGAGCTCACGACATGGATCACGTCCCAGACCCGGTGGCTTGAGAACACTGGTTCATGTGTGTGCCCAACACCTGAGCGCACGGAGAGACGGAGGAGGGAGTGCGGCTCGGCCGACCCCCACGGGCGGTGTTCTCGCTCGCCGGCTCTCTCCAGTGAATGTATGTGCCTTCAGGCAACAACAACAACAATTAGGGATGCCCATCTTCAACACACAGATGACAGGAGGTGGCCGCTGGAGTCCCCAGGGGCTCGTGCAGTTTACGAAGACCAGGGGACTCTGAGAAAGTGACCTTGTGCTTACAGTGACTGGACCTGGCCAGCCCCGCCAGCCTGGAGCAGTGTGGGTCCTGGATACCTGTTGGACGAGTCGCTCAGTTAGACTCCGCTGTCAGGAAGGCCGTCCAGGTATTCGTGGGCCGACTGAGCCTGGGGAGGAGGGCAGGGTGGACAAGGAGGGACACGTGGGGGTACAGCGCCTCCGGAACAGCCAGCCCCTTGTGCAGAGGTGCCCGACCTGCCTGTGTGCTGTCCCTGACACAGCAGCTTGGTCCTCACCGACGGCACGTGGAAGACCCCAGGGCTGCTCTCACCGTGGGCGTCCCTCCGACTCCGCCCTCCCAGACAGCTTTCCAAGGTGTATCTTAGGAGAAGAGGCTTGTCTATCCCACACACTCAGCGTTTGGTGCCCACAAACATTCGGCAGTGGACAGGATGGATCCGACGGGCTGCGACAGTGGCCGCCAGTCAGAGCCGGCCTCGGGTGAGCCTACGCGGCTCCATTCCCCACGCTGTGGCATCGGGGTTAAGCCTCGAACCCGGCCCCGGGGTCTGAGCTGCTGAATCCAGTCCTCCGAAGCCCACTCTGGGCGTGAGGGCCTTCTGCCACCTGCAGGGAGCCCACGGCCGGGTGAGCAGCCGTGCCTGGCCCGCCAGCTTGGGACCTCCTTGGTCTCCACAGCCTGGGCCCTCTCCGCAGGCTGTTGTCGGTGCAGGACATGGAAGCCACTGTGACCGACAGCAGGGACCACCTTCCGTCCGAGTCATGCCCTGTGTCGCACAGAGTGGAACCGCACCGCCAGGCCGAGTGGAGAGGGCTCAGGAGGAAAGGCCATGCGATGGCCCGGGTTTGTCACGTCCCCCTTCTCTGCTCTCCTGGAGGGACAGAAGTGCCCGCTCTCTGGTCCTGAAGACACAGCACAGCCTTGCTTCTCGGTAGGGAGGGGTGGGCTGCAGCGGTCGTGGCAGGGGCCCTGGCAGGAGCCACGCAGCATGCAGGGTCGCCAGCACGCAGTTCCTGTCACGGCGTCTCCAAGGCCTTTCTGCCCAGACCCTAAGGATGCCTTGGAGTGGCCGTGCAAACGCTCTGCGGAGTGAGGGCGGCTGCTCCACCACAGCGTGGACCTCCCGGCGGCCGGCGGGCTGGTCCTTGGGGGCGAGTGTTTCTCAAGGTCTCGCTTTCCTTTCTCTGGGTGAGGTGGGGGCCTCAGCACTGCTACACTGGTGGCATCGGGAGCCAGTGGGTGCTGTCACCTCCCCAACGCTGCCTGTGGCCGGCCGCATCTGTCCTGCCCTGGCTCAGTCCCGGGTCTGTGCACGCTCGGGGAGACACAGGGGAGGGAGGGCGAAGAAGCGAGATCACGCTGCGCCCTCTCACACGAGATGAGAAGATAAATCGCCACACGCTTTGCAAGGGTCACTCTTTTCTTTAAACTTTTATATTCCTTAAGGCTCTTATTTTTTTTTTCAATAGACTCTACTTAGAACTTTAAAAAATAAACTTTTTTTGGTACCTCGTTTCCTGTGTCAGCCTCGGAAACATGGAAAAATATATCTCCCTAGAACTCTGTGTAAATAATAAAACATAAATACTATTAACAACTGTGTCGTTAAATACAGTCCCTTTTCAGGCTTTCTCTGTGACCGCGGTCACCTGTGCCCCTGTCCCCCGCGCGGGTGCTGCTAGAACTCTGTGGTCTGCGCTAGGCCAGCCAGGGCACGCTCTGGAGGCAGAGGGCAGGCCAGGAGCTTGCCACCGGGCTTGCCCACCTTCAGGCCACCCCGCGACAGCTGCAGAACACTCTGCAGCCCGCTGACCAGTGACAGCGAGGGGAGCCAGGGGGCTGCGCCGAGGCTGGGGAGGGCC